ATCCGGAAAGAAATGATTTTTCTAAATATGCTAATGAGCCACCCTCGTTCAATTTGAGAAATTGAGATATGATTAAAGATACGATTTGAGCATTTTCTATATAACTGGCCAGGATAAGACACTAAAGACATTAGACAATCCAATCTATTTTTCCATGGCTCCCTTATTAAGAATTAGTGTTTTTAACATAGCCATGGCACTCTAGATTGAAATTTAAAATTCCATTTTTTATTAAGCGAAAATGTCAAAAGTTGACATGTGATACGTCATTCTATCGAATAAAGTAAAAAAATACCGAGGGTGCCATTTAAAAATCAAAAGTTGTAGTCATTTCCGGTAAAATAAAAAGTGACCAAAAACAATTGAATAACGTCATTCAATCCTAATTTGTGTCATATACAAACGTACCAAGTCTCATTATTTTATCTGAAAAATAAAAAGTTATAGGGGTGAGCCACTTTCGAGACGCACCCGGTATAGTATAATAAAAGACTTGCATAGTACTCTTCGCGATTTCGTGTAAATAGTTCACCTTGGTCCATTGAGACTGACAGATCTGGAGCAGTTTTGGTACCATAATATGCGAATTTTGCGATATTCTGACATTGAAACCGATTTATATGTCTCGAAGGTTCATTTTTATAGCTTGAAAAACTTGAACAATTTCTTTTAAACTCGTGTTATTGATTTTTGCAAATTTACACATATACTACTACAACTAGTGATGGGCATTACGATTCTTTTTAGTGAATCGAATCACATGATTCAATTTCTCATATGGAATCGACTCCTTGTAGAATGTAGAAAGTTTAGAAGGGGAGTTAATCACAGGGACTTTACCCATACAGCACATCAAATCACATTTACGATGTGTTTACATTATTAGATGTAGACACAGGGTGACACAATTCCCCCGATGTAAATATGCTACGTTTACACATTGTAGTTCAACACGTATGCACAAAGGTTAAACGTCCGCCTCACTATGTAGCCACAGTATAGCATTTACGTATACACAAAGTAAGGGATACACAGTGTGCCGTAGGATACACAGTGCTTGAGTATTACGTTTAAACTATGTTTACACATTGCAGTTGTGACTACCGCGTGTATACGTATGTATTTTGCTTCGTATATACATCTTGTGCTAGATAAAACTACTTCTTATGAACGAATTTAGGAAATAATACAAGTTTTGATGCCTAACTTTTCGTTCTTTTTAAGAAATATTTATTCAATGATACCAAAATTATATCTTTTTAGAACAAAAATTAGACAGGCAAAACTTTGTATTTTCCAAAACTATCTCGATCGTAAGTTCAAGAGAAGTAGCCTTAAAATTGTTCCATTTTTGTTTTGTATTAAATGTACCATTTTTCTTCCATAAAATGGTTAGTTAGTTAAGTGGTTAAAAAATAAAATTCTTATATTTCTTTATATCATGGAACGCAATAGCGCAAATAATACAATAATAATAATTATTTACACTGCAGAAACCAGAAGTAAGAAAACACTGTAAAAGAACAGAATTTGTATCAAAATGTATTAAAAATATAAGTACATAGTATAACAACATACCAAAATGGTAATCACTGGTATATCGCCACGATTTGGTGGACCTCGTTTAGTCATTTTTTTTCTTCTCTTTTCCCTCCAAGCAGCTGGTTTATTAGCATACTCATTCATCGAGCACTCTGTTGGACTTTGTTGTATTTTATTTCCAGATTAACAATCTAGCTCACCCTTAAATTTTATATGAAACTGATTATTGAATATTAAACATATTATCTGTATATTGTATATTATCCATCAATAACTTACCGAATATCAGTGTAAAAAGTTCTTTAAAGTGTTTAAATCTTTCTTTCTCTGGTCCATTTAGATTTATATTATTTCCAAATTAAAAAAAAATATATTGCAGAGTTAACTCAGCTAATCTCTTCATCATTATACGAGACTATTTGGAGTTTTCATTCATTGGAGTCAAAATTTGGTAAATTGAGTATCGCGTAAGGGAAGAGTCGCTGCTATAATATTAATAATACTCTTAGGAAGGTGTAACAAAGTAAAAAGTTAAAAACCTTAAAATCTCTTTTAAACTACACACAAACAGAACATTTATATAGAGCTTCCGAATGATAAAACAATAATGGCTGCTAACACATACCACTCCTAGAAAGGAGAAAGGAAAGAGGACACATAAGATACACTTGGTCGGTGTATCTACGCTGAGGCTATCCGCGCATGCGCACACCTTCATTTCATGCTAGAATGTAGACACAACAGTACACTATTACTAAGTGTCTATATAGATATTTATATTATTTGTATACGTCACATTTTTACAAGCTGTGTACTATAGGCACAACTATGATACGAAGTATCACACATACATATGACTTATACATTGTATGTCTCATATACCGACGTCAGATTTCATCATTTTAATAATTATTTGTTACGTTACAAGAAACTCTTTAGAATCTTGAGTGCATACGGTATACAACTAGTAAACACTGTATCACACAATTCTATCAATATAAACCTGCGTGTATCTCATATGTATATGTTAGAACTAGTTGGTTCACTTTAACATATGTTGTTTCTCAGGTGTCTCCCTTGTAGAAATGTAATTTCATTTGGACGTGCTATATGGGTACAGATCTATTGCGTGTTCCCCTTTCTTGTGTTATAACGAGTTATAACTCATCATACAGTCTGAGGGCTCTAACAAAAGCCAGTATCTGAGACGGATCCACAGAGGCCAGCTCTCCATCCTCAACGATCAGCCGTATCAAAGTTCATGGCACGAATGGTCGTCGTCTCGGCGCACTCAGTGATAAGGTGTTCTGGTGTTTCAAGCTATTGAACGAACCGGATTGTAAGCAATGAATCGAACCTCACGATTCATTGTTAATACTCGTTCAAATGAACGACTCGTTCAATCGTTGTCCACCTCTACAACTAACTTTTCTTCACGGGTCACATTGGGCCAGAAACAACTTAAAATGTGGAATAATTCAAAAAAATAAAATTGAGAAAACCCCTTTATTTTTAATTAATAATAGTTAAGAAAACTCTAGAGAATCATTAAATAATAAAATAGTTATCTGCTTTTAGATACACTCTATATCAATAATTTTTTGGCATATGCAGAATGTACAAAGCTGTTTGAATGTACAAAGCTTTTCGCAACCATCGTATGACTAAAAATGCATATTTTTCGAAAAGACGTCGTATTTTCCTTAAAACAAAAAAAAAATTAAAAACCCGATCAAATTGTTTTTTCTAATTTCAATACAGATTAGTCGTAATTGGTAAAAATTTCGATTTTTTAAAAACTGTAAATTTGCAGTAAAAAAGAATCTTAACCAAATTTTCACACTCTTATACAACACCCTGTATACAAGAATTCGCTAAATATATTTTCGAAAATCACATAGTATCTTAATCACAATAGATGCATCTAAAACCTGGTCCAGACCGCATCCCAAAATATTTTTTAGTTCAAGAGATATTCAACTTTAAATTTACCCTAAAATTTTGCTTGTCCCGATAATTATGTCCGGCAGTTTATTTGACGAAATTGTCCACAAGGACTAGTTAAACGTTTTTCTTCACTTACGCACGCCAGAAAGAAATCTAATAACTTACCTGTTTGTTTCACTTCTTTTTAATGGCAAAGGGGAATCCCCTGGTGTCGATCCCGCAGATCCCGTACGGTAAATCCCGCAAATTTGATGCCGCGGAATCACAGAGGGATCCCGCATTTGCGGGATTGCATTCCCTACTGTGGGCTTGCCAGATAAATTCATCCTTCTTTTTTAGGAATTAAACTAGTTTATACTTGATAACGGTCAGTGGTCCTTCTGACCGAAACGTTGTGTTAATCAAAATAAACAAAGACAATGGAAGTCCGAAATTTTTTTAGTTTCAATAATGAATCGTTGTCTACCACATTCAAGAAAATACCTACTTATTGTTATCCTAAAAAAGAATACCTATTTCTTTATCAAAAAAAAATTCACTACCATCTAGCTTTATTTGCGATATTAAAATTTAGACCGTCGACCTCAATGGTTTTGCGCTGTACGACATTTCTTCGTTGGTATCTCTTACCTTTTCCTCCTTTTCTGCGATTCTCGTGCGTCAGAGAATTATTTTTTGCTCTTCCATTTCGCATGTTTTTTTTCTGGGAAAACGTCTTTTAACGATGTTGGTGCTAAAATTTATCGTACCTGTTTTTTTGGAACACTGATATTTATAATTTCCGAATGTTCTTTGGGTTCTAAGTATAGATTTTGTTTACGTGGTCAAAATGTACGTCACAAAACTGACTTTTACAGAAAAAAAAACTGATTTAATTATGCCAAATAAACTACTCAAAACAATTATCGCATATTTTCTAAAAAAATATTAATTTGGAAAACAAGACACTTTGAATTCCCCGACTTTTAAAATTTAAATAGTATGGATACTGTGAAGAGAAATTCGATACAATAACTCTATGCGCTGATCTGTAATTTTTAGTCGGCCAACTATTTAGTTGCAAGAGTGAAAATAATACATACTTATAAAATCGATCGGGCGACTATTTGATTTAAATCACAGACGAACAGACGGACGGACTGACGGACGTACGGACCGACAGACAGACAGACAGACAGACAGACAGACAGACAGACAGACAGACAGACAGACAGACAGACAGACAGACAGACAGACACCATGGAAATATTTTGTATTTAGGTCATTTATGACCCAAATAACTCATTTTGAGTGAAATGGAAAAAACTTTTTTTTCCGATCTTAATAGCCTATCGGCTAAAAATTGGACGTTTTCTTACAAAGTTATTTGCATATACCGGGTGAACCAAAGTTGTTTGCCGAGAGTTTTGAAAAATCGAATTTTGCTTTATTTTTTTTATTATTACGCGTTATTTTCCCCCCAACACCATCACCCGATCGTACCGGTACTTAAGCGTAAATGCGCCAATCAAGGTGCGGAAAGCATTGACCGAGAGACCGCTCGGCAAAGACAAGTACACAAGGTTAGTTCCACCCGCTCCAGCTCGTATTGCGTGGTACCCGGAGTATATACAACCACCGACCGGAGGCCGGCAGCGTTAAGCAACCGGGGGTACTATTATTATTATTACAGTTCGCGTTTGTCAGTTGGTGTGTTATCGCGATTTATCGGACGATTAATCGATTTGATTGAAGTTACGGTGGTACCGTTATACACCGCGCTACGTGGTGGTAGTACTTCATTAGTGGCGATTTTTTTCTGATCGCTGGACGATCTATTTCTGGTAAGCTGAAATCTGGAAGAACTTTTTTTTTTAATATATGTCTAATTTATTAAAAAAATATACGATATGTCCCTGGATTGCCTATGCAAGAGGAGATTTTTTTTATTACAAACTTTTTGGGATTTTTTTTTCTAAAAAATCCCGTTTATTCTTTTCTAAATTTCCATACCGTTTTAGAGAAAAATATGAAAGTACTAGCGTGTACCCGCGACTTTGTTAGCGTCGAATTAATCATTTTTTGTAATGCTGATGATAAAGCAAAGCATGAATTTTCATTAACATAAAAACTGGATAAAATTTTCCCACATTTATGTCAGCATGAGAAAAACAATATGGCGATATTATTATATAACTTGGTAATATTTGGGGGGTAGTTTCATCTCGTTGGAATTTGACTTTCGAAAAATCCGCCAAAAATAAACTTTTTACGTCAAGCACTTTAAGTAGAATCGTAGTTAATCAATTACCCAACTTTTTGGAACACCCTGTATGATTTTTTAAAGAATTTCAAAATATGTCAAAAAACAAAATAAATTATGCGTGTCCAAGCGTTTTCCCGAAGGACTAATAGTTTTTTAAATATCAAATATTGTAATATTTGAGGGGCGTTTTTACCCTCTTGGAATTTGAGAGTCAAGCAACCCCTCCTTATGGAATCTCTACACTCCACAGTCAATCCGTTTGCCAAAAATCAGCTTTAAACGTCAAGCAGTTTAAGCAGAATCGTGATTACTCAATGGTCATATTTTATGAAACACGCTGTATAAATTTTTAAAAATCTTAAAATATGTAAAACAACAAAATAAAATATACCTGTTTAAGAGTTTTTCCGAAAAACTCACCGGTTTTTAAATAAAAAAAATATTCTAATATTTGAGTGGTGGTTTCACCCCCTTAGAATACGAGTTTCGAAAAATCTCTTCTTATCGAACGTCAAAGTCAATCTATTTTCCAAAAATCAGCTTTTTACGTCAAGCGCTTTAAGCAGGATCGTGATTAAACAATGACCAGATTTTTCGAAACACCCTGTATACATTTTTAAAAAATCTTAAAATATGTAAAAAACAAAATAAAATATACGTGTTTAAGCGTTTTTTCGGAAACTTGACCGTTTTTTAAATAAATAATATTGTAATATTTGAGGGGTGGTTTCACCCTCTTGGAACTGGAATTTCGAAAAATCCCTTCTTATCGAATCTCTACACCCTAGAATCAACCTGTATGCCAAAATTGAGCTTCTTACGTTGAGTGGTTTGAACAGGATCGTGATTAATCAGTGAGTCAGTCACTTCAGGATTTTATATATTAGTATAGATAGTTGGATTTTTTTACAGAGTTTCATAGAGTCAAAATATATATACATATAATAACTATATACTGTAACATTTTTTGAGATAATAAATTAAACATACTATGTAAAATACCTTTTTAAAAGATGAAATTTGGGATATGAGTTAACGAAAGTCTATACAGAGTGTTCCTTAATGACATGCTAATATTTAAGGACATGATTCTTGGACCTATTCTAAGAAAAAAACTTCATATGAATATATGTCTTAACCTCTTAACTTTTCAGATACAGGGTGGTAAAATTTTCTATTTTTTTTTCAAAATATCTATAATGTTATATTTGATACACGTCTTCCGTGCATCAAAATGCTAATTTTGATATACAAAAAAATTTGTTTTGTTTCTTAATTTCCTTCCAGCCGATGTAGAAATAATTTCCACACAATAGTCACCTCATCAAATTTTCAGCGATTTCACCCTGAAGTAAACTGACTTTATTTTTTTTAAGCAAAAATCGCGAGATAAAAAAATTTAGAAATGAATGGAGATTTTGAAAATAATTTTTATATTAAGAGAAGTCTTTTTTCTCCCAAAATATTCAATGTAAAACCCGTATGGGCGGCACTGGTTGAAATAAATAAAATTCTTTGTACACCAAAAAAGATGTTTTGCTGCATAGAAAACGTGGAACAAGTTTCATAAAAATATCTGTAATAAAATTAAAGTAAATATGAAAGATCGGTTACCTGCATGACATCGACCCAGATATGTTTTTAATTATTTAATTATTTATTCTGGAATTAATTTTGTTCAGAGGTCTAATCTAATCTAAAAGAATATATTGCCACAATTTCAGAATTTCCGGTGACATTATTGCGAATTCAAAATCCAGAGAAATAAGGGAATAACTCGATCTTCACTGGTTCAAGTAACTACAGTATGTCTCTGGATTATCTTTGCAAGAGAAAAAACTGTTTTATTATTTAATTTTCGAGAACAGTGAATTCTTTATAAAAGTTTTTGCTTGTTTTAAAACGATGAATTCCGTTTTATACTTCAAAATTTCAATACCGTTTCAGAGAAAAATAAAAAAAATGTCAAGGTCCCAAAAAACAACACGCGCTTCTATGGTAATATCATTGATTCTTTGATAGATGGTTATTATTAATTTTGATTAACGTCATCTTTTTTTTGCTATTTTAAAATGTTAAAAAAACAAAATATTTATAATAACCTTTCTCGTAGCATTGAACTATATTTTTCCTCTTGTAAAGATGATCTGGGGACATACTGTATAACACACGTGTAGTAAACCGATCAATCAAGAAATTCACTTCGAATTAACTAATTATATACATATTTTTTCGTGCATTTTCGTATATACTTACTTCTTGTCAAAAATAATTAGGATACGTCCTTTGGATACGTCAATTTAAGTTTGCGTTTTCGGTGTAATTGTTATCAAATAATTGTCTACACTCAGCTGCAAAAAAAACGCGACGGAGAAATTTTTGGTGAATTTTAAAGTGTGATATATTTCTGTTATTTTTAGCCTTATTTTCATGAATTTTTTAGCAAACTGTACATAATTATATTAACTTTAATTCGTAAACCAAGTTTTATATAAACTTTAGTATTTGGCCTATTATACAGGGTTAATCGAGGGGTTGTTTTTTTACCCTAACTCTAAAACATCCTGTGCAATAATTTCGTTTGTGAATTAAATATTTTTATATTATTATTTCTGTATTTTAAATATTAAAGATATAATCCCGGTTTTAATAAACATTAATAACGCAGAACTAACGATATTAAAGGAAACATCTCTAATAATCAAAACAGAAAAAAAAATGTAAAAAATAACTTAATACATTGTATTGCCTCCCTTGGCTGTTATAACTAGCGATGGGAACTATCGAATGAATTAGACTATCGAATGGTTAATGAATGAATGATTTCAACTATCGAATGGTTTTATTCGAATAAAATCATTCATTCATTTGTATACTAAAGCATATGTGACAACCTCGCCGTGCGACTAAATGGTTATCGTTGAGTCACGACTATCGAATGCTTTTGATAAATGAAATTTAGTATTCGTTTGATTTTTTGTATGCGTTAGTGCATTATAGTTCTTCCAAATTTTTATAACTTCGCCGTATAAATACTGTGCTATTTTTGCGTTTATTAAAATAGTTAAAATACTAAAATAGTAGTTATTTTTTAATTTTATTTATTGACGATTGTGTGCATGTGCAGGTAGTCAAAATTTTTCCGAAAATTTGTGTGGTTTTCCGTAGTCCGATCTTTCAATTATTTAATTTTATATGGTATATGGTCTATTTTTTAATGGGAAATTTTGAGAAGTAGCAATTTTTAAGAGAGATGAGATGAACTTACAATTAATTTAAAAAATACATATTTGTATTTTAGATGTTTTAATAATATGAATTAGTTGAACTTAATAATCATATTTAAGTAATGTGGTTGTATAATCATATTTAAGTAAATGGTTATCGAACTCAAACTATGGGGTGAGAAAATTAAAACGAAAGTTTTACACGTGCCAATTTAAAAAAAAAGTTAACGATGTTTGTATTTTGTTTATGCTAATTCTCTTACATGTAGTTTTTTGCGAAGAAAAAATATTTCATTTATTTTTTAAAGTAAATGCCAGTAAAAGTAAATATAATTTTTAAATAGTAATATAAAGCACCTAATATAAATAATTTTGATTTCTAATTTTTATTTATATTTTCCTTCCATTACACTGCATGCTTAGAAAATTAATAAATGTTTATATTTCATGATTTTAAAATTTGTTGTTAATATAACAAATTAGTTCTGTAATTATTATTATTTAATAAACCAACGTTGCCACACAAAAAAATTTAGAGACTATAGTATTTTTAAATAGGATCTAATATAAATAATTTTGACATCTAATTTGTTGTTTATATTTTGTACTACTTAAAAGAAAATATTTATATTAAATAATTTTAAATTTTGTTGTTAATAGGTATAACAAATTATTACTGTTATTATTATTTATTAAACCAGTCTTTGCTAAAAAACATTAAAAATAATTTTCCTGCATCCAAAATAACAAGTATTATTGCAATGTAACAACATAATATTAATAAAAAAAAATGCAGAATATATAGACATACTATCCCTAATTAACTAAAGCCAAACAATAATATTCTTTGCGAATATCAACTAATACCAAAATATGGTAACAGCGCCTTTCATAATGTATTTTCTGTGTAAATACTAGCACCTCAATAAAAAAAATAATGTGTCCTTATCTATATCGGACTCCGCAAAAAATCAAAGATGCCGGCTTCTTTCATAGCATTGCCACCGACCGCTGTCGGGTTTCTCGGAAAGAAACCTACGTCGCCGGGCGACAACTAAAATTCAGTTAATATTTTATTATAATCCATCCTGACGAATGAATGAATTTCATAATTGAATGAATTTTATAAATGAATGGTTTTTGCAGCCGAATTACTAGAATACAATATTTCAAGGCAGATGACGGATCTATTCGATAATTTTTATTCGAATAGTTTTCAACGAATGTTTTCTTACTAACTATCGAATTATTCGAATGAATTGCAACTATCGAATGTTTCGATAGTATTCATTCGATAGTTCCCACTACTAGTTATAACTGCCTGTATACGTCCGTTCATACTGCCATTGAG